GCGCCGCACCGCAAGCCCACGGCCGCTTGCTGGCTGGTGGAGAGGGAAACGAGGCAGCTTTTGCCCATCCATGGGTCAGACCTGGCGCTCTGTGCAGGGGGGGGGAACAGCGAGGGCGGGTGGCAGTGCCATCCAGACGGTGCCCCCGGATTTAACCCCCTAGTCGGGTCCGAGCCCCCTCCTCTGACTCAATGCCAGTGACGTCTCCTTACCCCGGATGGGACCCCAGGACCCCTCTCCTTGCACCCCTCGCAGGATGAACCCCTATGCGGGGCTGGGGAGCCGCCTGCGGGCGGCCTGGCTCTCGGGGAAGACGCGGCCCGTGGAGTACCGCGTGGCCCAGCTGGAGGCCCTGGGCCGCTTCCTGGAGGAGAAGAAGCAGGACATCCTGGAGGCCTTGGCCTCTGACATGCGCAAGGTGAGACCACGATCCTGCAGCCCAGCGCGTCCCTCTGGACTCGTGCTCACAGGCCTCAGCTAGAGGAATCCCGCCGGGCAAGTCTACCTGCCTCATACCCAAAGGTGCCGGGCAGCTGTGCCCTGGCAGTGAAGGACCGAGAGCCTGGCTGACCCTCTCAGCCCCCAAAGCACGTTTGGGCATGTCCTTGCAGAGGCGACTGGGCAACCTCACCAACCTCCCGCCCTTCTCCTCGCTTGCTATTTGCACAGCACAACAAAAAGCGTTTTTTCTAACCGTTTTGGATTTGCAGCCTCCCAGGCATTTCCTGGTGGCACTTGTTTGCTGGTGGCCTTTGCTTTTTGCTGTTAGCTTTTGGAGGAAGCCCTTGGATACCTAGGGTGTGGGAGGGAAAACAAACGGCAACTCCCTTTTGGCTGCACAGAAATAGAATAAATTAGCCCTGGGGAAGCCTTTGCCGAGAGCAATTTGGGGCCTCTGTTGTCATCTCCGCCTCTGGAGCCGTGTCCACACTGTGCGGCCATCCGGAGCAACTGAAACTCTCGAGTTACCAAACATATATGTTCAAGCAAGAACCTCTGTCACGCCTAAAGAACCTGCTGGCACGGGGTGGCGCAGGGCCCGGCAGGCATGCCATCGTGCCATGACATAGGTGCCCTGCTGGAGCAGCGTCCTGCCCCACCAGAGCTGGTAGCACCTTGCTTAAGGCTACCCAGGAGGCTCTGTGCTTGCAGCTGGGAGGACAACCATCTCCATGGGGTGGCTGTGGAGCGGTGCCTCTGGTTGGGGAGGGGAGCTGCGCTGACCTCCTCTGTGTCCCCAGCCCCCCTTTGAAGTGGAGATCTCCGAGATCTCCATTTGCAGGAGCGAGCTCAACTATGCACTGAACAACCTGGGCTCCTGGATGAAGGACGAACATGTGGAGAAGAACTGGGTAAGAGCCAGTGGCCAGGCAGGTCTGAGCTGGGGAGGCACAGGATGGGAGCTGGGGGCTCCTCACCCCATGTTTCCCTCCCCAGGTGACACAGCTGGACTCAGCCTTCATCCGCAAGGACCCCTATGGGGTGGTGCTCATCATTGCGCCCTGGAATTACCCCATCAACCTCCTCCTGGTGCCCCTCATTGGGGCCATTGCTGCCGGTGAGACTGGGCTGCATTTCCCCCATCCTGGGGGTCGCCAGGTGCCAGGACCTCAGTGTGGAGGGGTGCCTGGTGTCCTCCGTGGGGCAGGCAGGGGCACCGCGGACAGTGCTCCCCAAGGAGCACCCCCAGTGCTCCCCAAGGGTGAGGTTCTTACTGGGAGGGAACCCCTGTCCCGTAGGTAACTGCGTCGTCATGAAACCCTCCGAGATCAGCAAGGAAGTGGAGAAGTTAGTGGCAGAGATGCTGCCCAGCTACTTGGACAAGGTAGGAAATGTCTCTGTCCTGGCCCCCTTCCTCTCCATTGGCTGTAGCGGGATTGTTCCCCGGCACCCACCCTCTCATGGCCACCGTCGGTTGAGCCCCACACCCCCACGCCTCGATGCTCAGCCCGCGTGTCTCCCTCCCCATGTGGTTACCCTGCTCCTGCCGGGCTCAGGCCCTGCACTCCCCTGCTGTCTGCGTTGCAGGACTGCTTTGCTGTGGTGACAGCTGGCGTGGAGGAGACCAACAAACTGCTGGAGAACAAATTCGACTACATCTTCTTCACCGGTACGTCCTCAGGGGCCTGGGCTCCATGCTCCCGTCCCATCCCTGCCCTTCTTCTTCAAGATGGGGATGTGAGAGTGGTGGCCAGCTCATCCCCAGAGACCCCAGCAAGCCCGGCAGCGATCTGGGCTTTCCCATCTCAGAGCCTGGCTGCACTCACAGGGGGTGAGAGCCGAGAGGGACAGGCTGGGGGAGGTTTTTCCCCCCCTCAGAAGGAGAGCCGGTGTAGGGCGCAGCCCCCAGGAGCGCGAGCTGCAGGGCTGGGCACTCATGCTGCTCTCCCTGCCCTCAGGCAGCCCCTCCGTGGGCAGGATCATTATGACAGCCGCTGCCAAGCACCTGACGCCAGTGACGCTGGAGCTGGGGGGCAAGAACCCCTGCTACGTGTCTGACACCTGCGAGGTGCACAACGTGGCCAGGCGGGTGGCCTGGGGGCGCTTCTTCAACGCGGGACAGACCTGCGTGGCGCCCGACTACGTGCTGTGCAGCGTGGAGATGCAGGACAAGCTGATGCCAGCCCTGCGTGAGGCCATCACCGAGTTTTACGGCCCCAACCCTCAGGAGTCCCCCGACTTTGCCCGCATCGTGGGGGACAAGCAATTCCAGCGGGTGCGGGCTCTGCTGAGCAGCGGGCGCGTGGCCATCGGAGGGCAGACGGATGAGCAGGAGCGCTACATCGGTGAGGGCGCAGGACTGCATCATGGGGCAGGAGCGTTGGTGGAGGTGACGGGGCCCCTCTCCCCGCCGCGGTGGGTGCTTTCCCACAGAGCGTGGCACATCGCAGGCCGCACGTGCTGGGTTTGGTATTCGCGCTCAGGTTGCGCGAGGCCCTGCTACGAAAGCTCAGCTCTTGCCTCGGCTCTCCTCCCCTCTTCCGGGCTGTCTCACCCCGTGGACACCAAGCCAGCTTTGCCTTGAGGTCGCATCCGCGTTGTCACTTGTTTCGGCCACAGATCTCAGCTGAAGTCAGGACTTGCCCCGATATCCCCATCCTCAAAAGGGCTTTTTTGCTGGCTGCTCCCAGCCGCTTTCCGTGCGGCTTTGAAGGATCGGTTGAACTGATCTCTCCCACATACCTGACCCTCCACCACTGCCCTGGGTGGCTGATCCTACCGGGCACCGGGCGCTCGTTGCCGCATGCAGCGAAGCCGTTGGTGGCGGAGGCCCGCGCCCGCCCCGACCGCGCCCCGCCCTTCCCCGCCCTG